TGCTACTGAAAGCTGGAAAGACAGGAACTTGTGTCTTGTGGTGGCAAAACAACTGGCAAAACTATGAAGTTGTGATTCTGGCTGAGGTGGTTTCCAGGAAATGTTCAAAGCATCAATTGGTTTATTTTGGCTCTGTATAGTAAGGCATGGGAAGACAGAGATGAAACAGATAATCTGTTCTGCTGGGTTGGATCCAGTCTCTGCAGCAAGTTGAAAATTCTCAAAAGACAGAGTTTCAGGGTAAGGATAGAATCAAGCCTGTGGTTGTTATGCCCTTTGCTATGAATTCAGATTTAAGTCATAAACCTAATAGACCTTCTTATGTAGACAAAAGGTGCTCCTAGGAATCTTGTTTTCCCATAGTACACTAGCCTTCCAGAGAGGTCTGTGTGAATTATGACTTAACTTTTAGAGAACTCCAGTCAGTTTTATAGGAAACCCAAAGTTTTTAAGGAAACTATACTTTGCTGAACACATATAAAGATATTTAAAAATGAAAAGGGCCTCAAGGCCCCCAACTTTGAACAAACAGGAAATAACTAATCTATTGTATAAGTCAACCTCAGAGCATCTGAGGCAAATGCTGCAGTATTAATTTTGAGCAAATGTATTCTTTAGTCCCTTTTTGTTCTCTTGGGCCCATGCATTAAAGTAACGACATTCAGTGATTAAACTATTTTAACCACTAGAAGAAATTATGGTACACACCGAAATATTTCCCCCAATTGGAAAATCACTGTTAGAAGTCAGAAGTGATCAATTTGACTCCTAGATGAGATTATAATTCTGCAACAGTGGCCAAGTCACTAAAGTCTCTGAGCCTGTTAGGCCAGTAGTAATGTCACAGAAAATAGCAGATTAGGACCCTCAGAGAATTGGTCCCTCCACTTAAAGTACCTGATGCAAAAGTCCTGTACAAAATACTAGCAAATTGAGTTCAGCAGCATATCAAAAGGATAATATAATGACCAAGTGAGATCTATTCACAGAATGCAAGGATGAGTCAACATACAAAAATCAATTGACATATTACACTAACAGAATAAAGAAAAAGTCCCATATAATCATCTCAATTTAGGCAGGAAAAGCATTTGACAAAATTCAACACTTTTTTCATGATAGAAAACGACGACAACACTACTCAACAAACTCAGAAGAAAACATCTTCAACTAAAAGATCACATGTGAAAAACCCAAGCTATCATCATACTGTTATGGTGAAAGACTAAAAGCTTTTTCTGTAAAATCAGGAACACGATAAGGATGTATATTTTCACCATATCTGCTTGACACAGTATTGAAATTCTAGCCAGAGAAATAAGGCAAGAAAAAGAAATAAAAGGCATCCAAACTGGAAAGGAAAATGTACAACTATCCGAATTTGTAGACAATCTGAAAACCCAAAGAATACATGACACATATACACATAAATGGTAGAGCTAATAAATTCAGCAAAGTTTCAGAGTACAAGATCAACACACAAAAATCAGTTATGTTTCTTTACCCAAGCAATGAATAATATAAGGAAATTAAGAAAACATTTCATTCATAGCAGCACCAAAACGAACAAAATACCTAGGAATAAATAAACAGAGGCAAAAGTCTTGTACGCTGAAAACTACAAATTTTGGTGAAAAAAATTACACAAGTGGAAATATTTTGTGTTCATGGACGGTAGACTTAATATTGTTAAGATGGCAACATTCCCCCAACGTGAGCCACAGACTGAATGCAATCCCTATCAAAACACCAGTGACTTTTTTTCCAAAATGGAAAGATACCAACCCTAAAATTCATATTGAAGGTGATGGAACCCCTAAGAGCCAAAACAATCTTGGGGAAAAAAAAGTTGAACTCATACTTTCAGATTTCAAAATTTATTACAAAGCTACAGTAATAAAAACACTATCATTCTTTATAAGAATAGTCTCTTCAAGCGGTGCTGAGATTACTGGATAGCCAGCCACATGCAAGAGAATGAAGTTGGATCTCTACCTCAAATCATACACAAAAATTAACTCAAAATGGAACAACCTAAATATAAAATACTATAAAACTCTTAGAAGAAAATATATAAGTAAATCTTTATAACCTTGGATTTGGCAATGGATTCTTAAGTTGTGTCACTAATAAAATACTTCTAAATCATGAGTTTAGTATCCAGAAAATATAAAGAACTCTTACAAATCAACAGTAAAACAAGACAAACTAAAAAACAGGCCAAGAGCTTGAATAGATATTTCTCCAATGAAGACACACAAATGACCCACAAGCAAGTAACACTCACTAAAATGGCCATAATTTTTTTTGTTTTTTAAACAAGAAGTGATAGCAAGCATATGAAAAACTTGGAGCCCTCATACATCACTGGTAAGAGTGTAAAATGTTTCAGCCACTGTTGGAAACAATTTGGCTGTTCTTCAGAAAGTTAAACACAGTATTACCATCTTTTCTAACAATTCTCTTAGGATATACCCAAAAGAATTGAAAACAGGTACCCATGTACATATGTGTTTTCATAGCAGCACTAGTAACTAAAGCCAAAAACCTAAATGTTTATGAAGAGGTGAATGAATAAACAGATTATGGGATATATATACACACACACATATATATATAATGGAATATTATTTAGCCATAAAAAATTAAGTATTGATACTGTTCATTTTCAAATTACTAACTTTATGTGAATTTCATCTCAATATAAAAAAATGAAACAAAAAGGACTAAGTTAGATGATTTCTAAGATTTCATAAAGGTTTAAAATTATAAGTCTATAATTCTTCCTTATTTTCTGGATACAGAAGTTCAGCAGTTTAATGCCCTACTCTTGAATATTGAAGAGACACGCCAGGATCATAAGACATTTGAGGAACACTTCCAACATTAAATAAAGACTAAATGAGAAAAAAAGAGCATGGAAGACAACAGAGAGAATAGAACAAAATTAGAAAAACACTAATTTGTATCTTCAGAGTTAAAAAAACAAAACAAAACAGATGCATAGGATTCATGAAAAGGTGATCAGCAATCTTGTAAGTTAAAGCCATAGTTGTCAACGCAAAATTCAATGACATGGCTTAAAAGACACATTGTGCAAACTCCCAGACAACACTAGAATATTAATTAAATAGAATGTAGGACATAATATAAAAAGACATTTTCTAAAAAAACAAAAACAAAAACAAAAAAACTCCCTTAGTGCTACAGGATATACATCTCTAGGCTGAAAGGGTTCTCTAATTGCCTAGTACCAAGAATGGTTGGGGGTTGGCAACTGCAAGACATTATCATCAAACACAATCTATGAAAGAACACAGATGGAATGGTATTAGATTTCACAATATCCCAAACGACAGAAGACAATGTCTGCAAAGAAATGACACTGTTAAACTATCAATCATGAGCCTACTTACAGAGGTTCAGAAAATTTATTTCACTAATTCTTTCCTAGGAAGTCACTTAATCAAAACCTCTAGTACGAAAGAGAAGAGAGTCCATGAAATGCAGCTTCCTAACAAAAATGTTAAGGAAAGTCCTAGAATATGAAATAGTCAGCTTACAGAGCAAACAGATGTTTGAAGCAGAACAGTTCCACAATGGAGGTCTGAGAAAAGTGGCTTGATAGACTAAATATGAAGCAGCATCTGCATCTGAAAATACTGAAGCTATGATAACTACAAGGTAACAGCACAATAAGAAAATAAAAAATCTTCAAATAAAAATCTGTGGGCGGTACAAGAAAAAGTAATCGTCTTAAGTCGTCATAATGCAAATCTTAATGCACAAACTAGAATGTAATAAAGTATACAGGAAAGACAGAAGTGGGCAAGTAAAGTTATGAAAGAAATAAATCTTATATGAGAAAGTCAATTAAAAATGTACATGGATTTATCAAAATATCAGCATAGCCATATAATTTGGTACTCCATATACAAATGTCTTTACAAGTAAAAGTAATTGCCTCTAGGTGGCAAAATTTGGGAAACAGGACAGGGATCTTGGGGTGTATTATTTTTTGGAAAGAATGTGCATGTATTTGTATCTTGACAATTTTAAAAAATCAATAAAAATGACCGTTCATATGATTTTTGCTCATTCTTAGTATATCCACTCACCTTTGCCAAAATAAATCAATGTAATTCGTGTGCTTAAAGTTTATGTGTAAAATGTGATTTAAATCTTCACTTATGTAATAAAAAGAGCTACATTTCCATGCAAGTCTAAATAAATCAATCTATGTAATTCATGTGCTTAAAGTTTATGTGTAAAATGTGATTTAAATCTTCACTTATGTAATAAAAGGAGCTACATTTCCATGCAAGTCTGAATAGTACCTTACAGGTTTGATTGTATTACATAAAGAAATCTTTATAATAGCTAACACATGTTGAGTGCTTAGCATATGCCTGAAATTGTTCAAAGCCCTTTACACTTACAATTCTTAATCTGCAAAATATCCCTCTGAGGCAGGTCCTATTATTACCCCATTTTAGACATGAGAAAACTGAGGTTCAGAGTTTATGGAACTCACCTAAAGTTAATGTTAGATCTAGAACTGGAAGTGAGGTACCCTAATGCCAAAGATGAGGGTACACCACCTTTACCCAAAGCTAATAACTCAGTTGATGAGTTTAGATTTCCAAGTTTCACTTCTCTTCAACTTTTTAACTAAGAAAATTATTTCCTTTTTTTGTGCTTTATAAAGATACATGTGAACAATAACAAGACAGACACAAAACAGCATATAAGGAAACTATAGGCAACAATCTTCAACAGCAATATTAATAATGATTTGATTTGATATCATGTGTCACAAAAATTCCACAGTACAATGACCACATATGAAATTTGAAGAGTACCAATTAAGTCAAAACGGCCTAGCTGGCAGATTCATTTAGACCTAACTAGATCTGCTTCACAAAATCGCCCTCTATATAAAGTTATTGCTTTAACAGTCTTTGCACAAAGATGTCATGGAAAGATTAAATAGAAACATGTGAAATCATTTGTTCATTTATTCATTAACTTGTCAAATTCAGTTTTCTATACACTATGATGTTTATTCCATTTTGTACTATTAGATACACATATTTAAAAAAATATTTAACTTATTTTTATGAAGAAATTAAATATTTTCTGAAAAAGAATTATTTTATTATTGTTCTCTAGCAACAGACCTCAAACAATTCTCATCCAACTCAACTAACTCATTTAAATAACTTTGCTCAATGGCAACTTCTCTAAAGATCTAGTTTACACAATTCTATTCTACATAACACTGTTTACCCTGTTACATAGTATATAGTTAAAGAACATTTTTGTAATAAACATGTTTCTCTTTGATATGATACATAACAATATTTTCACACTTCCCAGCAATCACTCAAATATATTAAAAATGTATCCTTCTTTAAAAGGCACACACATTTACAGGTTCAAATCTTTATTGTTTTAAAATTGTACAGTTCTTTTACAATACAATATTTTGTTATTTAAATGACCTCTAAATGGTTAATGTGCAATGAATACCTTTTGTTCTGAAACTCAACCATGAATTACGATTTCATCAATATGATTATTCTAGAGTCATAAAGATGTTGGGAAGGTTTGAGTCTGCATTTGAAATGGTTAGTAGCACAGACTCTTCCCTTTAGAACCCAGATGACCAATCCATTGAAAGTGCTTTTGAAGATTGCTGATTATTTATGGCTGATCTTAAAATCAGTCAATCAAATTACAGTTCCTTTTTTTTGAAACATCAAAGGGCATTTAAGAAAACTGAAACAATTTGCTTTAGTAATCTACTGAGGCAAACTCAAAATGATTATCTGCATGCAATAACACTCCTCTTTAAATAGTTTTGAAGAATTTATACATTTTATAAAGAATGTGTTAAAGAGTGCAAGTATTCTGATACTGATTTCACAAAAGGACAAATGCTGGTAATAATAACATTTAACATCTAAGTTCAAGCTAGTGTATATTTAACAGGCAATTAATATGGCTCATCATAAGCCACAATGCACAAGGTATGCCCTTTGAGAAAATGAACTAGTTTGGTCCGCATTTCTAGAGTTGTCTGGGTAAAAACAAAAAACAAAAACCATTTTAATTCAGCCAAGGATTTTGATGAATTAATTATTCCTAAAATGAAGCCAGTTAAAAAGTAAATGATGTACACCAATGAAGCATATTGTCACGCTGACTTTTGCATAAAAAGATGGCCTGCTGTTTTTGGAGTGATGAATGAGCACTGCAGGACAAATCAGAAAAAAAAAGTCATAGAATGTATTAATTTTGTCCATAAGTTATACTTTCTTATTCCATGATACGGCTTTCACTCTGTAAAACTTTGTCCCCAAAGGAACTTTAAATCTGTTTTGTGCCTAAGAGGGAAAGAAAAAAATGGAATCACTAAAATGATTAAACCACATCACACACACACACACACACACACACACACACACCCCACAAAAACAAAAAGAAACAAAAAAATAAGCAAACGATATCACACAAATACCCTCCTATCATATTACTCATTGCTGAGTATTGAAGGGTTGGAGGGATGTGATGGTCTTTATCAAACTATGTTAAGATCTACCCCTCACCAACAAAGAATATATTGAGTGAATAGCAAAGACAAAGTTGGTAGTCACTGCTAAAGACTATAATACAAAGTGAGCCATACATCATTATTTTAAGTATCAAAGAAACCTCAATACTATATGGTTCAAGTTCTATTCATGTTTTGTACATCGAGGCCCCAAATTATAGCGAGTCAAGAAGAATGCTCAGAAGGTTTCACTGATTCTAGAGCACTGATATTGTTACACAATCAGTCCAATTTTTAAGTCACCAAATACTTTAGACTACCTTTCTTTAATGGGGTAGAGTATGAAAATAATAAAACATCAACTGTATTTACAAATAAAATTCCCTTTTTGTCACTAGTTATCCAGGGATTTTTTTTTCCTGCAAATTAGTTACACTAGTAACCTAACAGTCATAGAACACAGACTTTGTAGTAGTTTTCCATTATATATTGATAGGCTGTAGTTAATCTATCTCTACTATCAAAGGACAACATGAATACTTATAAATTGCCAGTTCAAACTCATTCTCATTAAAGTCAAGCTCTAACTCAAATAAGCATAAAAGCCAAGAACAGCAGTGGTAATGATTTCTATATAAAGCAGTATTAAAATATTCTTTATAGTTCCTAGGCTTAGTATCACATGATGTGGTTTTTACCTTTTTGGCTTGACAGTATTCTTTTTCCATTACTTTTCCAAGTACCCAGGGTCTTCTAGATGCACCTGAAGCTAAGGAAATTAAACAGTTACTTTCTTTTTGAAAGTATGATAATAATTATTCATGGAAACATAACTGCCAGAATTAAAACAGACTAAAAAAGCTCTCACAAGTGGAAGAATATGTAAGACTTCAAAAACTGCTGAAATCACTGAAATGCTTAACAATTTACAAAACTAAATTCATGTTACTTTTCAACCAGTAATGTGTGCATAGCTCTTGTTACTCTAAACGTACACGATATGTCAAGTCACAGAAATAATAGTTCAGGAAACACTAATAATCTAAGTACAAATCATGAACAAATATCTAGGAATTCTAGGCTAACTCAATAGTGCCATCTATCGAAAGAACTAAAAGATAACCTTTCCCATTTCTTTAAGCAAACAAAATGTACAGGTTCAAAGCAAAACATTCTGAGGGGCAGTATTTTTAATACAAGTTCTCAAAGGCAGCAACTGAACAGTTCTCACACCTGTACGCCATAGTGCTGGGCAAAAGAGTGTGTATACAGCTGGCACTCAATAAATAACTAAGGGTTAAGAACCAAAAAAGTCTAGAAGGGCAGTACTTGTGTGAATGAAGGAAAGTTGAAAAATGTGAGAGAAGACAGGATAATCCTAGTCCTTATAAAGCCAAAATGTGACAAGTCAAGTGATATCCATTCTCTTTTAAAATTCATCAGAAAAGAAGCTGTCATATTAAAGTTGACTTCAAAAGTATTCAGGCAATAAACTACAGATGCCTCTCAAGGTTATGTCCAGATTAAACCCATCCCATATTGAAAATATCTAAGTTGAAAATGTATTTAAAACTTCTAATCTACCATACACCATAGCTTAGCCTAGTCTCAGAACATTTACATTAGCCTACAATTGGGCAAAATCATCTAACAAAAAGCATATTTTAAAGTGTTGAATGTCTCGTGTAATTTATTGAATACTAAAAGTGAAAAACAGAATGGTTGTATGGATACTGAAAGTAGGGTTTCATGAATGTGTATCACTTTCGCACCATGGTAAATTAAAAAAATCTTAAGTAGAACTACCGTAAGTTGGGAACTGTCTATATTTTGTTTAGGCTAAAGCCTTTGAAAGAAGGCATATGAATTTTTATTCCATAAAAATAACTTGGGAAGATATACATAAAAGATATCCCAAATAAATAATCAGAAATGAACCTGAAGAATACGATCACATGACAGAAACATAAAAGCTCTTGGACAATAGAGTGTGGTGACTTCTCTGAAGAGTAAACTAACACTTCACAGCCAATTACTAAGATCCAAAAAGAATCATCTAAACTAAATGCTTGTATGACGCCGAGCTCCACTCTCAAAAGGCATAAAAACACTCTGGTAATCCACACTCTTCCAAGGCAACAACACAGTAGGGTAGCAGGACCCCAGCTGGCATTCCTCAAAGGAAAAAAGGAAGGCGGGGTTATTCATGGTTAAGTAAGACTGTTAAATAAATTCTTTTCTGCAGTACTTGTGAAAGCCTTTAAAATGGCAGTGTGCATTTTAAAAAATGTTTTTTAATATTTCCCAGATTTAAACACTGAACTCTAAGAAAATGAACATGGAAATATTGAAAGGCAATAGGCTAAGATGTAACTTATCATCATGCAGTTCTGGGGGAAAACAGTGTGCACACATTTGTGTATATTTATATATTAGATACATACACATAAAGAGATACTGTAAGTGGGGTAAAATGTTAACAGGTAAATCTGGGTCAAGAAATATGGGTTTTCTTTGCACTATAGTAATCTTTGCAACACTGTGTAAGTTTAAAAATCATATTCAAATAAAAAGTTTAAACAACTGAAAAACAAAAAAAAAAAACCATAAAAAAACAAAAGAAGTATCAGGTTCATTCTTTTCAAGGTAAAAAGTACTAAGTAAAAATAGTAAGTTATAAGCTATCTTCTCATTTTTCATGGTTACATGATTACTGTTTCATGGATACTCTAAACAGCCAACCACAAATAGCCATGATGGAGCTGTCATGGGAAAGCGCCCTAGTTCAAGACTAGGAATTTGTCAGCCTGGTCAACAAAGCGAGACCCTGTCTCTACAAAACAAAACAAAACAAAAAATGGGCATAGTGGCGGTGCACATCTATAGTCCCTAGTCCCAGCTACTCAGGAGGCTGAGGCAGGAAGATTTCTTGGGCCCAAGAGTTCAAAGCTACAGTGACCAATGATCATGTCACTGCACTCCAGCCTGGGTGACAGAGCAAAAACTCATCTTAAAGAAAAAAAAGGCCGGGTGCGGTGGCTCAAGCCTGTAATTTCAGCACTTTGGGAGCACAAGGCAGGCGGATCACGAGGTCAGGAGTTTGAGACCAGCCTAGCCAACATGGGGAAAACCCGTCTCTACTAAAAATACAAAAATTAGCTAGGCGTGGTGGCGCATGCCTGTAATTCCAGCTACTCGGGAAGCTGAGGAAGAAGAATTGCTTGAACCTGGGAGGCAGAGGTTGCAGTGAGCTGAGATTGTGCCACCACACTCCAGCCTAGAAAACAGAGCCAGACTCCGTCTCGAAAAAAATTATCTATCTATCTATCTATCTATCTATCTATCTATCTATCTATCTATCTATCTATCTAGCTATCTGCTAGCTATCTGACCTTGTTTGCGAGGCAGTCCAATTAGATTAGGAACATCAATCTAAATGGACTTACTTTGTTTTATTGTTAAAAATAATTCTACTTAGGCTAAGTATACCAGGATATCTATTCTGTTCTTTTTTAGTATTTTAAAAATCAAATAGATAATAGACATTGTTACTTAGTATATTTTAACAAAGCTTATTTCCTTTTTAAAAAAATAAAGGTATAGAACAGTATAATGATAAACAAGGTAGGAACACAGGATGATACAGGATAGACATTTTATAGTTTAAGAAAACTTTTGTTTTGCCAAAAAATAATGCTTTTATATAAACAAATAAGCCTACATTAATTTTGAATAGTCTGTACATGAGAATTTTGACAATATAATTATGCAACTGCTAGGGTATGAGATGTCCGAATCAATGCACATTCTGATCAACTGGTCCCTTGTATAAGCTATACTCCTTAACTCTGAATTGTAAATGGAATCCATGAAAATAATCTAGATAATGTAGATTTTATTAAAAAGCAGATTAAACAGGGTTCCCTCTTAGTGACTTCTTATATAATTAAACAGGGAAAAAAAATCTTTACTTATATAATTTCCTCCATTCCAGGTTTATATTTTAGTCATGGAATGACACTTACCACCCTCACCTGGTTTGAGATCCAGGGCAGGTAGAGACTCTGAATGTAGAAAATATAAAGTAGGACTAACAGTAAATAACACATAATTGTCATGGCGTTCGTCTAGGATGATGAGTACCAAATCTCCCACCTGAAAACTGAATAAAGAAATGCAATTTTATTGACTTAGCGTTACTTCAATCTCCCTATTCTGAAAACTTAATTATATATGCTACAATGCTCAACTACATATTAAGATATTAACGCAAATATTAAATTTCACTTTTATATGATATTCTTTTTGTATTCTGCCCAGGTCCTAATGGGACTGCTGGTCATGCACAGATATTCAAAGGATGATGTCAGGGGCTGTCAAAGACCAAACATTTCTTTAATAAAGTTTCCATTATCTAACGTTAAGAAACTGGATGAAAAGCAGAAAAAGCACCCATTATAGTTTATCCAGTCACAGGAAGATTTTTTTCTACTAATCTTTCATTTCACACCAAAAATTCAGAGAGACATCTCATATACAGTCACAGTGTCAAAGAAAAATTAGATCTCGTCTTCAAGTGTCGTGCTCTTCAATTTACAAGAAAAAGCAATTGAGCTAGGTCCGTAAGTGCTTAATTAGGTCTAAACAAGTCAACAGATATACTATTTTGGGGTATAAGCCCGAAAGAAGAAGACAGGGAAAGAGAGAAGTGGGTACAACCAATTACATGCTTAAGTGGTGTTTGTCTCTTTACAGCCTTTTTTAGAACTGTTGTTCAAAACATCAAAAGACCCTGAAAATCAATCTCATATTTTTCAGTTGTCAAGATCATTTAAGTTGGTAGATCCTATACCTAATAAATCATCAAAATCAGCTGGAGAAACTTTTAATGTCTTTTATTTAGTAAGTTACCCTACAAACACTTATTGACCATCTAACAAACATGTGGCAGGTACTGTTTTGGCTAAACACCAAAAGCTAATAACTTAAAATGGGGAGTTGGGAGATGAGGCCTCTATGAGGCAGTATCTTTGGAGTTCCTCCCACTCTCTCGTCTCTGAAAGACCATTAATGAACTGCCCACTGACATGACATACAGCTGGTAAAGACAGATGCCACCAAGCCCTTTCAAATCACTGAGACAAGATGAAATTTTAATAAGACATGAAAAGTCAGAATCACAGATATCTGACAACCAAAAATGTGGTCAACAAATTCAGAAATTTAGAAACAAAATACAAGAAGTTAAATAAAGGGTCTTAACTTTCACAACCTTCCTGTCAGGAATAACTCACTATTCATGAGTTGCTAACAATGCTTTTATTATTCCAGAGCTCCACCTTAAATAACCAAAGCTAAAGAAAAATTGTAACTATGGGGTAAAACAGTTCAGGAAAATTATTAAATGATTCAACTGATAAATTCTGTAAACCAAAAATCAAATTTGAAGCCCCCCAAAGCAACCATCTGAATGAACTTCCTCCTCTAGGCCAGTGCCCATAATATATAATTTAACCTGAAAGACTGGTTCAGGCCATGACAAGAGGCAGGGGTTGGACTTGCCTCATCATGTCCTCTTCCCTTTTAGAATTCAGGAAAAGTCAACAAGAATTTAACATTAACACAGAGGTTAAGCGTGATAAGAAACATTTACAAACTATTATCTGTCAAGCCTGCTACCTGGAGGCTTCATCTGCATGATAAAACTTTGGTCTCCACAACTTCTTATCTTAACCTAGACATTCCTTTCTACTGACAACTCTTTCAACTAACTGCCAATCAGAAAACTTTTAAATCTACCTGTATCTTGGAAGCTACCCTCCCACCTTTCACTTGTCCCACTTTGTGGACCAAACCAACTTGTATCTTCAATGTCTCATGTTTCCCTAAAATGTATGAAATCAAGCTTCCCCCTCACTACCATCCCGACCACCTTGGGCACATGTTCTCAGGGGCTCCTGAGGGCTGTGTCACAGGCCATAGTCACTCATATTTGACTCTGAATAAATCTCTTCAAATATTTTAGAGTCTGACTCTTTTCATTGACAATTTCAGTTTATTATGAATTTGTAGAATATTAATAAAAGGAAATCTAAAAGCTAAAAATAGGGAAACATTGCAACTTAAAAATAAATCAAAACTCTCCAATATAGATTAACAAGACTAAGGAGATAAATGAGATGTAAAAGAGGTAGCACATGCTGAAAAGTTAACTGGAGGAAAAGGCTTCAAGGATATGTATGTGAATCATAATGCTATAATAGGAAAGTTTTGGCAATCTAAACGTTTCCAGAATAACAATTTAGAAAAATCCTGCTTTCCAATAAAAAACTTTTACTACTACTGAGTGCAAAACAGTCAGCTCAATGAACCTGGACCTGAATTACTCTCACTGAAATACATTTTCATTAACAATTTGGTGAATGTTTTTCACAGAAAAATACCCACAAAACTACAGTACTTACTCTCTAATAGCTATCTTTTCAGAATGCCTTGAAGATACTGAAGACATGCTCTGAGACATCTAAAAAAAAAAAAAAACAGTTTATGAACTTACACAATTTGAGTACCACATGTATTCTTACCGCAAAAATTTCACCCACTGTTACATACATTTAAGTCTGTGTCCAGCTTTAAAGAGCCCAAACTAATAACAGTTCTTATGTTCATTAATAATTCCTTTACTTCAACAATTAGCAAATTTGGTTAGATTAAAAACTGATTTTAGAATCACATTTTATTTACATGACATATTTAATCTTAAAAATAAAACAGAGAAAAGGACAAGTTTTTCAAGAAGGCTTTGAAAATTCTAATGCATTAGTTTCAAAATCTTTCCTTTTGGAAAAATAAAAATGTTGGAAACAAGTGCTCAGCACAGCCAAAAGAAACGAACACTTGGAAAATTTATCAGCAAAGCAACTTTACTTCTGCAGAAGGGTGCTGCTCGCAGCCGTCAAGGTTGCAAGAGAACACCAAACAAAGGAAGGAAGGGGTTTTTATCTCTAATGCAGTTTGTTTCTGTGTCCTATTGCCTAGGGTTGGACCACACAAACTAAGCTGATCCCAGTTGGCTTAGACCTACACTTTTTCCAAACAGGATTTGTTGAGAAAAGGAGAAGGCAGCGGGGAGAAGTGGATGGGGTTGATTTACAATCTTACAACTTATGAACAGGAAGTTGAGTCTTTGAAGAGGAACTTAGTTGTCCCAACATAAAAAAACAAACAAACAAAAAAACCCAAAAAGATTTAAAGTCTCAAGCCTGGGCAAAATGGTGAAACCCTGTCTCTACCAAAAATACAAAAAATTAGCTGGGCGTAATGGCAAGTGCCCATGGTCCCAGCTATTCAGAACTCTGAGGTGGGAAGATCACCTGAGCCTGGGAGGCAGAGGTTAGAGTTATAATGCAGCAAGCAAAGACCACCTGGTGACCATCAAACAGGCCATCTGGAGGCAAAACGCTATCTGAGGAATTTAGAAGTAATTAAACTTTCCTAGCATGTGGATACAGGTCTTTTTCAAACATGTTGTAAGTAACTAGAATTTCTACACATCTCCGGAATGCATGCATGCCAAAACTCACTGAGCAACCCTTGCTGACACTGAGACACAAAAATGTCTACAAATGTAATCATTTATCATGACCCACATGGCCAATATTGGTCCAAACTACCCTTAAGATCCCACCTTAAGGTCCATATATGCTTGTAGGGAAAATTCACCACAGCGCTCAGTCCTCTCTTGCTGAGGTGCCCCACTACACTCTTCAGCAGCATTAGCTCTAATAAAACTTTCCTTTTTCAAACCTATACTGTTCTCGGTAAATTCTTCTTACCAACCCAGAGTCAACCACTTTGCAATGCCAGCGCTCTAACACCTTGCCTAGCAAACAATACTACTCTGGTTAAACTGGGGTAGGAGCATAAAGTTCTGAAGGCTGAGAACAAACCTCTTTTCTCATCTTCAATGCAACTTCTGAGATGTCTCAGTTTAAAAAAACTTGTGAACAATCACGAAACAAAGATGTGATAGCCACCCATTTCCTCTACTGATGATGAGCACAATGAAATGGTAACTGATAAGCTACCTGATAACCTATAGCCATACAGCTTATCAAGTATATGGTAGCTGATAAGCTATAGCCATAGCTCAGTTGGGACTGTTCTGCACTTCAAAGAAGCTTCAATCCATTTATCCACACCATCTCATAAGACCTGGAGCATGGAAACCAAGGTCTTTGAAGCTTGAAAGGGTGGTAAAAACATCTATTTTTCCCAAGCAAAGCGAGCACAATGGATGGTTGCACAAACCAAGGACAGATAAGGATTTTTTTGTTTATTAAGTCAAATTTTGATGCTCTGAATTTCCTCCATTTCCCTCTGAACACTATCTGGTACAATGCAGGGCTCTCAATAGGTGTTTTAAAAAAGAGAAATAAAACAATAAATAATTAACTAGGAAGGCCTAAAATTGCATAGCAACTTACTAAAATTATCCAGACAAATGGTCTATATCCTGCCAGTGAAGACTGACCATCATTTTTAAGACTATAATTCAACTTTAATTTTTTAAAAGCTTAAGTTTTTTATATATTATAAATGAAGACAATGGAAGAAAAAATCTGTGAATATAGCTGTAAGTCTATGTGAAAGTGTGATTTACATTTGGACACCTTTCTGAATGTGACTGTAACGCTCTCTGGGTCTGAAAGACAATTTATTCTGTGAAAAGAAAACAAATCTTGGGAACCAAAAATCACTAAGGAAAAGGGGAGGCCGAGCTGGGAACTACATCAGGCAAACCTGCCTCCCATTTTATTCCTAAAATAAGATAGCTACGAAGACCTCACAATTTGCCCACAAGAAAATTTCTTGTGGACAAAGAACAGACAGAACTTGAAGTCACCCCTCTGTTCCTCTGCTCACATGAAACAAATGCATATCTGATTGTTTCCTCGGCCCCACTGTTTCACTAAGTCAGACTAAAGCATAAGTGACAATTCCTCTACTCTCCTCTGACATGTAAATTGTGTATTCAGTGAAAGGCTAATCACAGTTTCAAAATAATGCAACCATTTGTCTCTTATTTACGTATGACCTGTAAGCCCTCTCCCCAGCTTTGAGTTGTCCCACCTTTCCAGACAGAACATCTTACACATACTAGTTGATATCTCATGTCTCCCTAAAATGTATAAAACCAAGCTGTGATGTGTCCTGACCAACCTGGGCACTACAAGGTATTTTTATTTTTTAAACAAACTAAATTCTAAAACGTATTTCAAAACTTTTCAAAAGTACTGAACAGAAGCCTTAAACTGTTCCTACTACCGTGTAAACTGTAATTATCAGAATTTGAAAAAATAAAGTTATTGCTTTATTAAAACACATAATTTGCTATAAAATGGACTGTTCAAATAACTGGTTACATTCACAGGTTAAAGCCAAGGTAATCTGGCTGGGTGCAGCAAAATTCCAAGCAATTCCAATTTGCCTGGAATCCCAGCACTTGGGGAGGCTGAGGCAGGCAGATCACTTAGGCTCAGTAGTTCGAGCCCAGCCTGGACAAGATGGTTGAAACCCCATCTCTACAAAAACAAAAAAACAAAACCTAAAACCAAACCAAAACAAAAATTAGCCAGGTGCGGTGGCACTCGCCTATACTCCCAGCCACTTGCTGAGCTAAGGCAGGAGGACTGCTTGAGCCAAAGAGGTTGAGGCTGCAGTGAGCCAAGAATGCACCACCACACTTCAGCCTGGACAACAGAAAGAGACATTGTCTCGATTTTATTTTTTATTAAAAACAAAACAAAACAATAAAACCAGGGCAATTTACAGTACCATATGGGATCTCTTGCCTTTCAGGCACTTTCACTTAAAAATAAGATTCATGAAAAGGACTGGGCGCAGAGGCTCACAGCTGTAAATAGCAGCACTTTGGGAGTCCAAGGCGGGCAGATCACTTGAGGCCAGGGGTTTGAGACCAGCCTGTCCAAAATGGAGAAATCCTGTCTCTACTAATTATGCAAAAATTAGCCGGGTGAGATGGTGCACACTTGTAATCCCAGCTATTTGAGAGACTAATGCACAAAAATCGCTTGAACCCGGCAGGTGGAGGTTGCAGTGAGTCGAGATCGCACCCACTCCAGCCTAAGCTACAGAGCAAGACTCTGTCTTAAAAAAAAAAAAAAAAATTCATGAAAAGATATAATGTATTAAAATTATGCACACTTGTGAGTAAATACATTAATCTTCAAAAGGCTTATGAAGCATAGCTCAAAACTGATTTTGATGATTCTTTCAAAAATAATCTTAGGTGCTTCAACTGATCAGATCTAAAGTCGTAAATTCACCAAGACATTATTTAATTTCACACTAAGAAAAAAGTCCGAATCTACAGTCAGGAGATAACTCTGGCCTGACTTCAGCATTCTGAAAATCAATAGGATTCAATGACCAACATGGACCAACAAACCTACTATAGAGAAGTCAATCAAAGCATACATCCTCTGATGGAATATAATGCAAATCATTTAAAATGTTAAGACCAATTTACCAAGAAGAAAAATCTTACCAGTCTTTGATTTAACCGTTTATTTTCTTCTTCTTTCAATTGCAATGTCTGCAGGTAGGAAAAAAAAGAGAGACCTGTGGTTTATCCTTGTACCTACTCAGATAAATCTAAACAGTGATTGTCAAAAAGTTTTCATCCGACAAAAATGTTTGGTTCGGGCATGAAAATTTCATGGGGATATTATTTTCGATGAATCCTCTCCAACTGTTTTCATTATCTACTGGCTTAAATGAGAACCAGAGCAATTTTAGATACATTTACCAAGGACTGTCAAACATTAATACGCATTAGAAACACCTGTGAAATACATAAATATGTAGTAAAATCTGAGATCTATCCCCAGAGACTTTAACTAAGTCATGCCTAAGAGAATATATCTGGCACCTGTAACATAACATCTCAGGTTAAGCTGATGTAGGAAATCACATAATCCTTTAATAATAGAAAACATGCTATATTCAAATGAAGTTGTACAATTCTGAATTTGGATTTTTATCAATTACACTTGTAAAAAAAAAAAGGCATTGTTGAAAATCTATACGCCTAAAGAATGAAAAGTAATCTATGAACAATGATCTGCCAAATGTGTACCAATTGATCTTATAGTACCCTTAATAAAGGAAACCATTTATTATCAGTTTTTCCTTGTCCATTGCAATTCTTTATTTAAAACATAACTCCCTTCATTACTTATTTTTGTTTTTGCCCATTTCTAAAAAGTATTTAATACTTTGTTTTTGAAACAGATGTTTAAAATGGCTATTTATATTATTTTGCTGAATTCTGAACTATTAGATAAAACTAGTACTTTACACACAGATTTAATAAAAACTACCAACTTTTTCCTCTCATACAGACTTCATTCATTGAGAAATTACAACAAATGGGAGGGTTGAAATACCACCAACTGCTTAGCTAGTAGTTTCTTTAACTGTATCCGAAAGTGAACATATTAAACATGGTACTTCAAGAAGATAATTTACTTACTCGTTCTAACAGCATTATCCGCTGTTTTTCTTCAGACAACATATGAATATTTTCTCTAAAAGTGAGAGAATAATTGAGTTTCGGTTTGAAATTCTAAACTTTACATTCTTCAAGATTTTAGAAATTAAAATATTAATACAGATCACTTTAATAATTTAAGGGTTTTTATAAATTTTCAAAAGCAGCTTATTTCAGTTAGCATGTAATTTCAATGTTGTATATTCTCTGTAGCAGAACTAGATCTACAAACCTTTTGAAATAATAAGTAAAACTTTGTGTATGCATTTATCTAGAGATGTCTTTAAATTTCTTATTTTTCCCAGGTATTAAGAACCACTCTTCTTCCTACTTGTGATTGAATCCATGTTACTGATAAAGTCGTAGTTCTTGAGTGGCTAAAGACTTCAGTAGATTTACTAAGTGGATGCTATGTACTCACTAGTTACTATCCCAGGTGTGAATTTGCCCATTACACTAAAACATCCAAAAACAAAGTAGAAAATTTTTTAAAATGCTGTAACATTAGAAAAAACAATTATTTAGGTTTTAAAATTCATCTACAGGTATAATCTCCCAATTATATTTTAAGCAACTTGATGCAAGGCAGGTATTCTGTCTTCTTCAACACGCTAATTCTTTAGGAAGAGGTTTTGCCTAATATAAAGATCATAAAGATTGAGTTCTGTAAGAGTTTTATAATTTTAGCTTTTACACTTAAGTCTATGATCTATTTAAGTCAACTTGTACATATGGTAAGGAAAGGGTCCAACTTCACCCTTTTGCATCAGGATATCAAGCTATGCTATCCCTGCACCATTTGCATTTGAAAAGCGATTTCCTTCATGGAACTGCCTCAGCACCCTTAACCATAATGCAAGGGTTCAACTGACCATGAATACAAGGGCTTATTTTGGACTCTCAATTCTATTCCACTGATATATGTCAGGCTAGCACTACAGTGTCTTATTACCCTCGCTTACAAATTTTAAAATTAGTCAAATAGTGTGAGACTTTGTTATTTTTCAAGATTGCTTTGGCTATTTTGGGACTCTTGCAATTCCATATAAATTTTAGGATCAGCTTGCCCTTTTCTGCAACAAACACAGTTCAGATTACGGTAACAATTGTGATGAATTTGCAGATCAATTTGGGATGGGCTATCATCTCAAGGATATTAAGTCTTCCAGTCAGTAAACACAGGATGCCTTTCTGTCTTAACTTTTTTCCACAATGTTTTGTAATTTGTACAAGTCTTGAACTTCTTTTGCTAAATCTACTCCTATTTTTACCTTTTTGATGCCATCAGAAAAGAAACTGTCTTTTAAATCTCATTTTTGGATGATTCATTGCTAGCAGAAAGAACGACAATTTTTTTTTAAGAGACAGGGTCTTCTTTTGTCGTCCCTGTTCAGAAACTCCTAGGCTCAAGCGATCCTGCTGCCTCAGCCTCCTGAGTAGCTGGGACTACAGGTATGCACCACCACAGCCAGCGCCAATTTGTTTTTGCACACTGAACCTGTATCCTCCAACATTACTGAACTAGTTTATTAATTACAGTATTTTTTTAGAGGAGTCCTTAGGATTTTCTAAATAAAAGATAAGGCTATGTATGCAAATAGAGTGTTTTATTTCTTGCTTACCAATCTAGATGCTTTTTTTTTTTTTTTTGAGACAGAGTCTTGTTCTGTTGCCCAGGATGGAGCGCAGCAGCACAATCTGTAACCTCTGCCCCCCAGGTTCAATCAATTCTCCCGTTTCAGCCTCCCAAGTAGCTGGGATTACAGGTGCCCACCACCATGCTCAGCTAATTTTTCTATTTTTAGTAGAGACCAGGTTTCATCATGTTGGCCAGGCTGATCTTGAACTCCTGACCTCAGGTGATCCGCCTATCTCAGCCTCCCAAAGTGCTGGGATTACAGGCATGAGCCACTGCATCTGGCCAATGCCTTTAATTTCTTTTTCTTGCCTAAGTGCCCTTGATAGAACTTCAAAGTACAATGTTGAGCAGCAGTGGCAAGAGCAGGCCATCTTCATCTTGATTTTAGGGGAAAAGCATCTTACATTATTGAGTATGATGTTAATTGTGGGTTCTCACAAATGCCTTTTAATAGGTTGAGGAAGTCAATTCCTAGTTTGTTGAGTGTTTTTATGATGAAAGGCTGTTGGGCTTTGTCAAAAGCTTTTTCTTCATCTATTGAGATAATCATGTTTTTTTCTGTCCATTCATTCTACTGATACAGTGTATGACATAAATTGACTTTTAGATGTTAAACCAACCTTGCACTTCTGAAACAAAGCCAAGTGGAATTTGTTTTGTATTCTGCCAGACTGGATCTATTAGTATTTTGCTGATAATATTTGTGTCAATAGTTACAGAAGATGTGTTTTCTTCTTTTTGATATATTTGTCTGATTTGGTATTAGTATATAATAATGGCCTCACAGGCTTATATGAAGATGCAAATGACTGCTTTCCTCTGAGTGGGCAGGGGTGAGGTACAAAGGACCCCACACCTACTGATTTCTTACTGTGTACCAGACCTTCTCAAAGGTGCTCATTAAATTTAATGCCTGTCCGGGCACCGTGGCTCAGGCCTGTAATCCCAGCACTCTGGGAGGCTGAGGCAGGTGGATGAACTGAGGTCAGGAGTTCGAGACCAGCCTGTCCAACATAGTGAAACCCCATCTCTACTAAAAATACAAAAAGTAGCCAGGCATGGTGGCGGATGCCTGTAATCCCGGCTATCTACTCGGGACGCTGAGGCAGGAGAATCGCTTGAACCTGGGAGGTGGAGGTTGCAGTGAGCCGAGATTGTGCCATTGCACTCCACCTGGGGGACAAGAGCAAGACTTTGTCTCAAAAAAAAAAAAAAAAAATTTAATGCCCAAAGCAACTATCTTAATGGAAAAATAAGGGAAGATGACTTGCTCAAGTTCCCAAGCAGGTGCCAGACTCAGAATTTGAACCTGGATCTGTTTGAACGAAGGGACCATGGTGATTCTATGATATCTTTTGGTAATCACTTGTTCGAATTACTTTATCTCACATGGGGGTGTAGTGTTCACTGACCCACTGGGCATAATTCTTTATGTGGCATAATGATCTGGACTTTCTGCCCTTGGAATCTCAGTTCCCATATCTGAAATCCCAGAGGTGCAACTAGAAATGCAAACTCTACTTGCAAGGTCCTTTGGAGAGGAGCCCTTTCTCCTCCCAGTTCTGTGTCCCACAGATATAATTGTAAGCACAATTTTAGTGGTCTTTCACTATATTCAACGGAGAACTGTTAAGAAAGTTCTAAATTCCAGTAAGCTCTGCCAGGATTTCAATGTAATTCAGTAAACATTTGCTATATATGAATAAACAATAATAATAAAAAAACCGTTCCCTGCCTTTCCTCACCAAAATGAATATATTCATTACTACAATAACCCCTTTATAGGTAATGGACCACAAAATGTCAACATTCCTTGTAAGTAAGAATGGCTCAACACTACTGCCATGATCCTTACCTTGGCAGTATAGGATAATTCTGGTGCATATACTATGTATAGTATGAGAGTTCCCCAAAATAATTCATTCAGTAATGTTTTCTTACATTTACAGTTTAAAGAATTAAAATAGCACAACTTTCAGATATACGGGCTGTGGACAACCAGTAATGCTAAAAATATTTCCTCTCTTCAGAGCTTTATAACTTATGGAATTGCACTACTGCTTTAAAAGCCTTAAATAACAGTTGAAAATAGTCATACTTACTGTACAGACATCATGCTTGTCTCCATTGCTGAATCCACTCTTCCTTCATCTGCTGTTTCCACAGCAGATCTATCTGATTCACCTGGGAGTTCAGGTGCACAAGCTCCATAAAGTTCTGGGGCTGTAGCTACATATGGTGAAGGAACAAAACTGCTACTACGCAACTTACTGACTTCTTCTTCAAGCTTTTTCTTTTCCTCAAGCAAACGAGCTCGATCTTCAGAAAGTGACTCTATCAAATCTGAAAGACCCCCAAATTGAAAAAAACTATTATGCAATGAAAAAAACCATTTTGCATGAATATATCTTTTTCACTTTAAAAAATTTAAAAAATAGTACAAAACAGTACAAACCTTTATCCCGTTCTTGTTGCTGCATTGTACTTTTCAACTTATCACTAAGATCGTTTATTATGTTTTCTTTTCTCATTTTCTCTCTTGTTAAAACAGTGTTAAAATTGGTCTGGAACAAGATAATAATAATTATTTAAATTTATCTACATGTACTTAGCAGCTAGGACTTAGAAAATAAACTTGCAAATATTCTTTTCTGTGGCACATTTGTACATGGAGATGATAGGGTGTGATTTGTGAAATGTTTTTAAAATGAAAATGCAACATACTGTGGGCAAAGGTTCTACTTTCTTGGTTCCAATTTAAGTCTCTTGAAAGCAAATCCTATTTTCTTATTATTGTCCATGTATTTATTGTCAGAGATTTTGAAATTTTGAAGAATTAGAAGAATCAATAATTTAGAGTGCTGTTAGACACTTTTTTCCTGGAGTAATCATCCTGCCTCTGAAACCTTCCTTTTGTCTTGAGCATTTGATCACCACCCTAACAATTTTGGATATGACTCTATCTTCCTTATTTCTCTTATTTGGGTATCTGTCATGGTCACTGGAATGCTGATTTATATTGGCTAGACTTGTTACTCCCCCACTTTTATAAACTCTACTATGAAGCTCACATACCCAACTGCCTGCATGGATCTCATGAGACAATCTGGCAATTTTAACTGCACAGTTCTTAATAAAGATGACTGAATTTGTTTAAAAATTTTGCTTAGGCCGGACTTGGTGGCTCATGCCTGTAATCTCAGCACTTTGGGAGACCGAGGTGGGAGGACTGCTTGAGCCCAGGAGTTTGAGACCAGCCTGAGCAACAAAGCAAGATTGAGACTCTACAAAAAATTTAAAAATTATCCAGGCGTGGTGGCACATGCTAGTAGTCCCAACTATTGGGGAGACCAAGGTGGGAGGACTGTTTGAGCCCAGGAGTTCCAGGTTACAGTGAGCCATGATTGCACAACTGAATTCCAGCCTGAATGACAGAGTGAGACCCTGTCTCTTAAGAGGCAAAAAAAAAAAAAAAAAAAAAAAAAAAATTTACTTACAAGATTTCTGAGTTTCTTGAAATGTAAAAGCAATGGATGAATGATGAAATGATCTAAATTGACTCTTCTCATCTGCCCAGTATTTCTAATTCCAAAATTTTAAGAGCTCTATGGTCCTTGGATCAATGAATAATGCTAACAATGCTGGCAATAGGGAGATTTAGGAAAAGTAACACAGTATTTTTAATAAAACTTTAATAAATTCATTAAATATTGAATTAAATACAATTTCTAGCCACAAAGCATACAGGAAGATCTCTCAAAAAGAAACATTTACGATATGGCTTTGTATTAAGCTATCTCTATGTATTTTATTTATATATAGAAAATAAACACTTATATAATATAAACCATTATGTTTATTTTCAAGATCTTTGCCATTTCTGTAATTTGAATTTTTAGGAAGATTATCACAACTTGTAATTGGCATATGAAAAAAGGGGGCTTTTTTTGGAACCAATTAGTTCCAACTCAGAAATCACTTATACAGAGTTAGGTACAAATCACCTTAAATAAATACAACTTAACATACACATCATGGAAAATTGGAAGGTACCTTAGAAGTCATTTCTCCCGCTCTTATTTTACAAATATTAAAAGAGGCATTAAAACATGAAGAACTAAGTTAGATAGCTGTCAATACTATACTTTTGGTTTCAGTTAATTCACTCTTAATTTTAGAAATTGTACACGTGTTTATAAAAGAACACACAGAGAGACAACGCAACACAGAGAGATGAATATGCAGAATAAATCATAGAGAAGAATCTATAAATCTAGATTCTTAGAGAGGTTACTAATGACCTTTTTATTGCTAATTCTTACTTAAAACTTAGCTATTCCTCCTCCCTGAACACTTAACTTTCCTTGGCTTCCCTTAAGCCACACACTTTTTTTTTTGGTTGCACTTTCTCATTCCCTTTTCCCAGGCTCTTCTTTCTTTCCCTAGGCCTTAAAAATCTAAAATTGTTATGAGGTTTGAACTATATTTTCTTTCTATTCTCTGATTTACATTTTTTCAAATTCTACAAAGACACTAATTAATCATAACATTTTAGAAAAAGGAAAAACACCACATAATATTAGGAAATACCACACATTTTAGGAAAAGGAAAAATACCACATAATATTACATGTGTACAACAACCATAATATGCAGTTTCAGAAACGTATCCCTCAAAATGTATCCCGCAAACTGCAATATTTTCTCTGGCCTGAATCCTACCAGTAGCTACCAAATTGCTCTTCCAGCTGACTGCTTTGCAGTTGTCCAATCTTTCTCCATGTTCCAGTGGGTGATCTTCATTAAGTATCAATCTAATTATGCCATTGTATTTAGCTGCTGTCCAGTACTTTAGGTAAAGTACAAGCTCTCTAACAAGGCATCTGGTTTTTGATCTAGCCCCAACATACTTCACAAGCACTACCTCTTATTACAGACCAACAACAATAAGTACATGAACAAAATTCAACAATATTCCACCTTAATCTACTACCAGCCTATCAGAAGGATAAGAATTACAGAAAGTGTAGGATATTTACGTTGATCTGAATGTAATTTGGGATAACAAAGTTTAGAGAATTTGAAGCTTAGAGAAAAAATAAAAATCATTTTTCAAATTAAAAAAATCATTTCATAGAAAACTAATCTTAGTTCTAAAGAGGTTAAATGATCTATCCAAGATCACATAGGTAGTGAAGAAACCAGGAACAAAATTCACATTCCCTCGCTTCTAATCGAAGACTATCTCATTTTGAAGCACCTGGTATTGTCATGTGACATATTAACATGAAAAATATTATTTTCCAGATGAGTAAAAAAACTAAAAAATAAAACATTCTTAAAAATACATGCTTTTGTCATGAGGAAATTTATTAACAGGATCAATGTAAGGAAAATCACATCTAAGATATAAGAAATCCTCAGCTACATAAAGAAATTATATTTGTTAATTTACATCTACCTTCTTTAGTTCTCAAATAAATGAAATGGGAAAAGAGATACAGACCTGTTGTTCTGCAATCAAAGATGTTCGAACATTTTGCATTTCTTCATTCTTTCTTTTTTCTTGCTCTTCAAGTTGTTCTAGAAACTTAGCTTTTTCTTCCTGAAGCTTTTCTTGAAGTTCAGCAACTAAGCTTGAAGAATCTTCTCTGGTAGAGTCAATGGCAGGACTTATAAATTAAATATAGCATTAAATTAAAAAAAAAAAAACTACAGACACACAAATATACCAAATATCATATTTATGAAATTTATCTTCCTCAAGCCTAATAATGTAGCATGAAAGATATCTGTGTGAACACTCTCTTTGAATCTAAAAAGTAAAGGGAAATATGTAAAAGTTAAATACAGATTAGATGCTGACACTAACAAGGTTTACTGATTTTTATCAGTATATCAGATACATTCAAGACAATTTGCTTGTATCAACATACATAAAAATCAAGAGGCTGCTCTGCCCATGGAGAAGCCATTCTTTTATTCTTTGGTCAAGCTCTGTGGCTCACACCTGCAATCCCAGCACTTTGGGAGGCCCAGGTGGGAGGATCCACTTGAGCCCAAGAGTTTGAGATCAGCCTGGGCAGCAAAGTGAAACCCTATCTCTAAAAAAAAAAAAAATCAAGAGCCGAGCACAGTGGTGCATGCTGCGGTAGGAGAACTGCTTGAGCACAGACGTTCAAATCCTGCCTGGGCAACGTAAGGAAAAAGTATTTTCTGGTAAGGGACTATACACATAGGAGATAGGTAAACTCAACTTCAAATGTCAGTTTTGCTATTCCTATACATGAAATTTACATAATGACTTAGGAAAAAAGAAACACCTAAAGATTGCATATGTTGAAATGCTTTCATTTCCATAAAACAGGCTTTGATTCATTTTGGTATCAAGTAGGCAACACAAAGTTAAAACTGAAAAGTGTTTACACAAATAAATCTACAAATTCCTGAACTCATACTCATTTCCTGAAGACTTGCTAACCTCTCAGGTGTTGCTGACAAAGTGCTAGAGATGAGAATAGGACAATGTAAGAAGAAATGAACAAACACTGGTTAGTGATTATTTTAACTTATAATTAATAACTCAATAACTTCTAATTATAACTTCTAAGTATTAATCTTATCTACTTTCAACTTAATAATCCTTAGCATTAAAAAAAGGTTTCTTCAAGAAGATGAAAAATGCTTAGTATTAAAATATGCTGCTAAGCCTCAAGAAGTTGCTATTACTAAAAACTACTTAACAGGTCAATTTTTAGGCTTAAATGTCCCTCTATTTGTTTTTAAATGATATGTTAATGTTTTTGAAATCAGGGTGTGTTCTGCAATTAATATGGGCATGTATTTAAAATGTTCACTCTACACGTATCTTACGTAATTTCCTAATCTAATTATATGATAGAAATACACTATTTATACCAACAATCATACAAAAAAATTATTGGAATCTTTTTATTCATGCTTCCAAATTTACTGATAAAAATCTAGTAACTTAAACTTGCTGCTCAGATAACCTTTCCTCCAAAGAGATAGCTTTAAACAGCCAAACGCAGAATATGCAGTTTGAAACATAGTATCTCTATCAAAGTCTGAGACTCCTTATTTAGTTCCCAGAAAGGCTGGAATAGGAATCCCCTATTTCATAATATAATTAATTAAAGGACAAGATATATATTCCATAATATAATTAAGACAAAGGATTTACTTTTAAAGTTTCTCCTTTGGGGCTGAAGAGGGGGATGTGCAAGTTTAAACTATTCCATGGCTAGAAAACTGACATACTACATAAATCAAAGTCTTACTAAGGAACAAAAAGGGACTCAGACTACTAACAATGAAGTGCTTGGTATGATAAAAATAGGTATAGGCAGGGTTTACAAATAATCCTGTTTGGCCAGTGTCTTCCTTGAAGAAATCTCCACAGTTCTAAGGTAAGCTGAAACTTTCAGGAGTAAAAAACAAGGCCGGGTTTTAAGGAGGAAATCAAGAGAGCACTGAGGTTGGAGAAGTGAAGGACAGATAGTGAACAGCAAAGGTTACGAATTTCATTGCGAGTACCATATAAAGTCATTGAAAGGTTTGGTCTAGAGAATGATATGGTGTGAATCTAGGTTTTGAAAAGACTATTGTGAGAAAGGGTATTAGTAAGAAATGGGGCACAGTAAAGAAGCCTGAAGGAGAGCTTTCAACATGATAAAAGATCCTAGAATTGTATTAGAAAAAGTGTGGTTCAAATTGTACAAGTGAGGGAGGGGAGGTCATACACAGCCAGTACTTATAATTTCTAGGTGTCCTGCATCTTTGGATTGCCTGGAGTACTCCATTTCAGGGTCAGTGCTGTGCTGGGATAATACAGGGACAAGAGGACACAGTTCCAGGTACACAAACAGATACAGACACCACTGACACTCTGTAAACACTATCATCCCCAAAACCAGAATGAGAACACTAGGTGATTAGCATAGGGTATCTCATTTACTGACTCATAAAGTAAAAGCAAAAAATGGACAGGTTATGACATGAAAAATAACCATTATCCCATACTGAAGACAGGTTTCTTATGGCTGTATTAATCCGGCCAAAAGTACATACTATGCCGTATTGTTTGAAGCTCCCATTAGAAAATGTTCCAAGTGACTATCTGCCACACAACTTTTATTGCACATTACCCTAGGATCTGAAATGGCCCTGCTATCAGGGGAATTAACCCTAGCAATGAAAGGCTAACAGCTAAAATAGGTTTTGTGTTTTAACTAGCATCACTGCCTTTCTTTGGGGAGCAAGAAGTTGTGTAGAGGGGAGGGAAGTCATGAAGAAAAGGTTACAGTGTATCATAGTTTAGTTAGAAAAATATAGTAGTCCCCCTTTACCCATAGGGAATATGTTCCAAGACTCCCAGTGGATGCCTGAAACCGCAGATAGTAGCAAACCCTGTATTTTTTTCCCAATATATGCACTGTGGTCCTAACATTTGCAGTTTGAGGTGTGATGGCAAAAAGAGAATGAATTGTCTCCTTCTGCACAGTTTCACAGATAGATTGGGTCTTACTGTAGATCTTTGCAGTCTCAGCATTTAATTTTTTTTTCTTACTAAATCAAGAACTTTCATCTTTTCACTTAAACGAAGCACTTCAAGGCTTCTTTTTGGCATACCCAAATTGTCAGCATCATTACTCTTGTGCTTTGGAGCCATTAAATGAAGGTTACTTGAACACAAGGAATGTGATACTGATAACCCAGATGGCTAACAAATGACTAATGTGTGGAGACTATACAGTATGGATACACTGGACAAATCGTGCTTCTCAAAACGGTATCCAATTTAAAACTCAGGAATTATTTATTTCATTTAATACTTTCGAACCATGGGGTAAGCGAAACCATGAAGAACGAAATCACATAAAATGAAACTAGAGAAGAGGGAATGATTGCATTTAATCTAACAACACTACCACAGAAACCTAAGAAATTCATCAATAAAGGTTGTCCACCTAAAAGAAACTTGCATAATCCTGTCTTTGCATATCTGAATACTTTAAAGAGGCCTGGACATTGAAACTCAAGGAAGCAGATACATTTGTTATCAGCTGGGAACTTTAATATCACGGAAACTTGAAAAAAAGCATCTCTAAAGGTTGACAGTTTTTCCCACCATTAAAATGTCAGTTCTAGCAAAGGACTGTATTATATCCAAATATTTCTATCAACTAGAAAATTTACACTGAACATAAACTCGATTGTCTTGATACTTGAACTCTTAACACTGACTAAATTAAAATTCGGCCTACTAAACAGTTAGTTCACTGTTTTTTTTAAAAAAAATATCTTCTATCGCTTGAACCCCGGAGGCAGAGGTGGCAGTGAGCCAAGATCGCGACACTGCACTCCAACCTGGGCAACAAGAGCGAGACTCTGTCTCAAAAAAATAATAAACAAAATAAAAATCTCTTCTTTTGCAATTAGAATTACAAAATTAAAATGCTCCCACCCATACTCACTCAGATCCATATCACTACTTCCTGGGAGCAGGGACATCAATCATGTAGTAGGTAGATTTCCCGACCCACAAAAACCACATACACACATGTTCTGCTCTCATTTCTTTGTACAAAGGTACAGGAGAAAGTTTTCTCCTACATTTTCAAAACTAATATAAACTATTAATAACTCCAAATTAAATAGAAGATATTCTGACCTTGCATTTCCTGAATCACAAGTAGACCGGACAGTATTTACATTTTGGCCATTTGTATTTCTTCTTTCATCTCGTCATATCTCTGTCCATTTTTCTAACAGATTGTGCGCCTTTTTCTTATTTACTGTGGGAGCTCTTGACATTACAGACATAGCTAATTTGCGTATTCATATCTTACAAATGTTTCTCCTTCGCAGCTGGCCTCTCAATGTTGCTTCTGGCATATGTAGAACCTAGTGGTGAAAGGGAAATGTGCCGGACTGTGTCCTCACATAAGCATCATTCTTTTTCAAAGGTTTCCTCTGCATGACAGAGAAGCCAGGGATATTATCCAGAATTCCTTCCTCAGTAGGTTCTCTGTTTGAGTTTGCCAGTGGAAGATACCCACACCTGACCTGGGATGCTGAAGTGAGAGACTCTGGAAGTGGTTGTAGCCAAACATGTGGGCAATGTGAGATTCGTAAGAGATTTCTAAGTAAACCACCTGTTTGGGGGTCTTGGTAGACAACTGATGAAAGTCTTCGAAGAACTGTAGCAGTTTCCTAAGCCACCAACTTTGGTGGTTCAGATGATTTTCTATTATAGATCTCCTGGCCTTCACCAGATTACTATACAGTCTCCCAGTTCTCCCAACATTCGTGTAAACTCTAAATCTGATACTAATCCCTTTAATCCTGAAATATTTAGAAGTGGTTGTTTTATAAGCTCAATCCCGATACAAAAAACGACTCTAGAGGAAAAAAAAAAAAATCCCATAAAACATGGAAATCTGAGATTAATTCTCTGATCTGAAAACAGTAATGACCTCATTGGCAGTGCAAAATAGAACACTGGAAGACCAGGGCAGTACATGGCAGAACAGCAGACACTTGTAGTTGTTTGAAAACCAGTGACGACTAAGGAGGGCAAGGCTTTGGGACATGTCCCAGCTGTGCCTCCAAATCCCATCAAACCTCCCTTCCTGGAAGCAACTGCCTTTTCTACCTTGTCTGAGGAAATCAGTGTCCCTTCACTTGAGGTAGTCCTCTTCTCAATGAGATGATCCTTTTCAACAACATCTCCCACCATTACTTCCAGACCCGTTGCTACACCCAAACTGCCAGATCTCTGGAGATTAAGAAGTCTAACAAAGGAGGAATTGCAAAGCAATTACAGAATCTTTAATATATTTTGGCAGAAAAACAGAAAATAAGTATGGGAATGGATCTAATGAGAGTTACAAGAGGAGGGACAGACTTTGCTAAGTTGACTGCCTGGAAAGTAGACTTAAGAATAACCAACATTAAATGAAAATTAGATGGCAAAATGAGATACTCTAGACCAAGGGCAGGTAAATCCAATCCGCTGTTTTTTATAATTAAAGTCTTGTTGGAACATAGCCAAACTGTTCATTTATATTGTCTCACTGCTGTCTTGCTAAAATGGTACAGCTGGGTAGTTTGGATAGAGACCATTTGGCCCACAAAACCTAAAATATTTACTATCCGGGCCTCTGCCAATCATTTCTTCAGGCTCATGATTCCCAAAGAGTGATCCACAGAAGCCTGGGGTTAATCAAACACATTCAGAGAACGAGTGAAGTCAGAACTGTTTTCACAGTAACACTAAAGTGTTGTCGTTTTTCACCTTGTTAATATTGGCACCAATGATAAAACTGCTGGCACCTGAACACACATTAAAGACATTAGCACCAAACTTTATGTGTAGTCATTTTATCTTTCACCACAAGGCATTCAAAGTGGGGAGGAAAAAGGGGAGGTTGTTTTTTCTTAGACTATTCTTGATATAGTAAAAATTACTAGTTCTAAAATATGTCAACAGTTGGAAGATCTGCATTAACTCAGTGAACTAGTTTTTTCCAAATGACCAACTCATGATGCCATAAAATCATGCATGAGTAAAAGATTCAAGTACAAGAGATGTACCAATAAATGTTAAGATTATGAGGAAATCCACTGATAGCTTCATATTCCACAATAAAAACTAATGTTCAGAAATTACCACTTGCTGAATTTTGATTTAGTAACAAAGAATATCGACAATCATCTGAAAAGGCTATTTAAATATTCCTTTCTTTTTCCAATTACATTCAGCATAAGGCTGGATTTTTTTCCCATATACTTCAATCAAAACTTAAGAGATTTGCAAATATATAGAACAACGGTACTCTTCGAACTAATTTTCATTTCAGACAAGTTTTTATTAAAAAGTCTTTATGTATGGCCAGGCACAGTGGCTCATGCCTGTAATCCCAGCACTTTGGGAGGCCGAGGTGGGCGGATCACAAGGTCAGGAGATGCAGACCATCCTGGCTAACATGGTGAAACCCCATCTCTACTAAAAATACAAAAAAATTAGCTGGGCGTGGTGTCACCCACCTATAGTCCCAGCTACTTGGGAGGCTGAGGCAGGAGAATCACTTGAACCCAGGAGGTTGCAGTGAGCTGAGACTGCGCCACTGCACTCCAGCCTGGGCAACAGAGCGAGACGCTGTCTCAAAAAAAAAAAAAAAAAAAAAAAAAAGTCTTACATATGCCAACATGTAATAAGGTTATTTGAAAATGGCTAAGTTTCAATTTCTTGGCATTAATCTTTAGTACAGAAATACTGACATAATCCCTATAAACAAAATCAGTTTGGAGTCAATTTTTTGAGAGCATAAAAAGATACTGTGACAGAAGTTAGAGAGCCACTGTTCTTGTTTTTCACATATTTAAAAGATGGTAAACACACACATACAGATTATATTAATAAGTCTGTGTGTGACCTGCAAATGCTAAAATTTTTACTATCTGGACCTTTAAAAAACAAGTTTGCTGTCCAGGGATGGTGGCTCACACCTGTAATCCCAGCACTTTGGGAGGTGAGGCAGGTGGATAATCTGAGGTCAGGAGTTTGAGACCAGCCTGCCGAACATGAAGAAACCCTGTCTCTATTAAAAATACAAAATTAGCCAGGCATAGTGGTACATGCCTATAATCTCAGCTACTCAGGAGGCTGAGGCAGGAGAACTGCTTGAATCTGGGAGGCGGAGGTTGCGGTGAGGAGAGATCATGCCACTGCACTCCAGCCTGAGCAACAAGAGCGCAACTCTGTCTCAAAAACAAAACAAAAACATAAACAAAAACAAGTTGCTGACTCCTGATCTACAAGAAGGCATCCAAAGGCAGGTATACTGGAAGGGATTTATTACTTATACCCTCAGAGGGCCCAGAGAATACATTCTTTACCAAGGCTTTGCAAAATACATGTTTAAAAGGCTCTGTAGTGGTGCTCTGTAGAAAACAGAGAGCAGAGAGAGATGAGAACACTGAAATTCAATGAATTTAATGGGAATGACAGGCTTCTGGAGTGGCAGAGGTCAATTAGTGGCATTTCACCACCAGAAACATAATGCGGCTCTATCACAGGCAACAGAGCCAGAGCAGTAATTAGAAGGTTTTGACCCAGAGAAATCTGCGGTCATGGTTGTCCGTAGGCCCTAATACAATGAACCGGTTAAAGACCTATTAAAACTGTAAAAACAAAACAAAACAAAACAGAAAACTCTAAATCTAGTATTCAGAGGTTTAGCTTATCAAGAGAATTCTAACCTTCACCTAATTCCAAGATCTGAGTTAGTTATCAACTACGATGCTGAAGAGATCTACAGCCATTTTCCAGACTCCTGGGGGAATACTGAACACCGGCTCTGAGAGGACTGTAGTGACTGTGGTCCACCAGGAGGAGGAGATTATTGGTGCTCATGTGACAGAGTTTGGGCCCAATGGTTCCCTCATCGAGACAGGAACAAGTTGAATAACCCTTAATGGAAATGCTTGGGAGCAGAAGTGCTCTGAATTTCAGATTCTGGAATACTTGTGTTATATTTACCAGTTGAGTATACCAAATGTGAAAATCCAAAATCCAAAAGGCTCCAATGAGCATTTCCTTCAAGCATCATGTCAGGGCTCAAAAAGTTTCAGATCTTGGAGCATTTTGGATTTGGGACACTCATCCTTACAGACTAGCAGAATCCCCGTGTTGCTTCCCTTACTCGTGGAACAAGGACTATTATGGTAGAAAAGGCCAAGTAAAATTCCTAAAACTCTCACTTCACATGACACAGGGGAGGGAGGTTTCTATCATGTTCTCATTCAACGTAAGTATGTGTCCTGTCCAGAAGACATGGAGACAAACAATGGATTTTAATGAAATTTTTCAGGTGGAGACTATTTAAAAGTGGTAAGGCAAGACACAGGTTGAAATATATATGTATTCACTTGGAGAATTAATGATAGAATGAATTGACATATTAATTATGTTCTAGAAACTGTTTATTGGGTCACAAAACCCCCTTCAAAGATTAAAAATAAAAATACTAAAAACCATCTTCTGTGATTAAAAGGCAGTAACATCAGACAGTAACAATAATAAAAATATAAAAACACCACCAATCCACAACCAAAGTATCATACCTGCAATTTAAAAACATCTTTCAAACACAGAGGAAATAACTGAAATTGTATTAAGAAAATAACAATAAGGAACACTCTACATGTTCCTATCTATGATTTAGCCTTTAGTAAACAATATGCAGAAGACAATTTTACAGTCTTTTATATACTAAACTTAAAGAAAACACATATAAGTAATTTTCTACTGAAGCGTTTAGGAAAAAAGTGCGAATAAAGAGAAACTTAGAAGGAAAAACAAAGAGCTCTTTAAAACATTTCAAACTTTCAACAAAACATTTCTCGGAAAATCCAAACTGCTGATTCATTTTTTAAAAGCCACTCATGGATTTAGTCTGTTAGTTCTGTTTGCAAGAAACACTGACAAAGGGTAAAAGTTTTTACTTCATGAAAATACCCTAGTTGCTACATTTACCCAAGGTAAATGAGTAAATCAAGGTACTATGATTACACACACTTACAAAAACACACGAATCACTGATATTTTAATTTTATAATTATAGACTAAACTGAATTCTTACCTTTTTGCTATTTGGTTCTCAAGATGTTTTACTTTTTCTAATAACTGTTTCTCAACAACTTCTCTCTCCAATATAAATTCTTTTAGGGCAGTCTGAATAGCTTCATCTTTTTCACAATTAAGCTTCTGAATTAACTGTTCTCTGTCTTGTTCCTGGCTGATGACCAATTTTTGTTTGTCTTTCTCAAGGTTCTGGATAATAGCTTCATATTTCTCTTCTTGTTGGGTGATTTTTTCATCTTTCTGTTTTTCAAGAGCACTCAATTCTGAGTTCAATTTACTCTGCAGTTCAATTATTTGTTCTTTCAGGGTGTTTTCTATTTCAAATGCTTGGTGATGCAAAGATGTTACTTTGTTTAATTCAGCTTTAAGTACACTAGATTCTTCTTCATGTCTACTAATTAACTCAGAAATACACTGATCTTTTTCAATTGTCATTAACGTTCTTAGCTCTGCTAAGCCCACCTGATAATTTTCATTATTATCCTGAATCTTCTGGTTGAGTTTACTAATTTCTGTTCTCAAATTTTCTGTCTCCTGTTCAAGAAGAGATTTCAAGGTCTCCTTCTGCTGGGCTCTGCTTTCTTCCAGCAAAATTTTTATTTCATCAGTTTCTGCTTCCTTCAATGCAAGTTCAACCTCTAACTTGCATCTCATGTCTGACAAATCAGAAACCTTGAGTTTTAATTCCTGTAACTGTTGTTCTTTTTCCTGGATAACTGCAGCATGAGATTCTTGTATTTGATTAATTATTTGTTGGTTTTCCTTTTTTAATTCCTCCAAAGAAACTCTGTGGTCTGTCATAACCTTCTCAAACTCTTGTATGTGCCTAACCTGAAGTGTGTCCTCTAATTCCTTTAGATGACTTTGCTCCAAAGACTGAAGTTCTGCCCTCAATAACTGTAACTTCTCATCATTTTCAACATGGAGCTTTTTTAAGTCTTCTAACACTATTTCTCGTGACTGCTTCAGTTCTTTAATTTCACAATTTTGGGAGTGCATTATATTTTCCATTTCTAACAACTTCTGATCCTTTTCATTCTGCAGGCAGATTACAGCTTCTTTTTCATGTTTAACCAAAGCAAATTCATTATCTTTATTTTGTAAAACCTCCTCAAGGCTCTCCCTTCAATTTTTTAATTTTGTTTTCATTCTCTTCAGTTTCCTTTATTAGTGCATCAAGTTTACCTTCATATTCATTTTTTAAAGACTGTAGTTCTTTTTGATGTTTTTCTTTTAGTGTTATTTCCAGAGAACATTTTACTTTTTCAATAATGTTTCTTATTTCTACTGCTGTACATTTTAATGAATTTGAGAAGTCACACTGTTCTTTTTGTACAAATGTTCTAAAGTGGCAAAGGTCTTCCCTAATGGTTTGTATACTGAAGTGAGAGTCTTGGGCAACAACTCTACATCTTTCTAACTGGACATTCAGAGAAGCATGATCTCCAAAATTCTCCTTACCACATACATTTGTATCCTGCATACGTCTACTGTCTATTGCATTGATAACTGATGAATAAAGTGATTCCACCATCATTTCTGGGCTTTGTGGATCACTTATAGGATTAGGAGATGACAGATTTTCTTCTATTACAAACTCATTCACAGCAGACATAAAATCTGATTCAGGACTTTCTGCTAATGAATCCAAGTCTAAAGAAACTTGGTGAATAGTCTGTTCTATGTTTGGATGGGGAATAGTTTCAAAATCAAATGTATGTGCATCAATGCTATCTGGAGATAATTCTTCTAAGGGACAAACTGCAGGACATAAGGGATCCTGAACAGTCAGCGGTGGAGGAGTTCTCGGTGAGGTAGTAGTTGTAATTCCTGCTGTACTTTCCATCCTTGGTGAAGAAGCAGACTGTGGGGATGTCTGACTCACAGATGCCTGGAAAACAGAAAGAAAGGCTTAAAGAGCTGCACCAACACAAACATTTTTCACTAATGAAGAAAACTGTTTGAAAGAACTGAATTTGCCTTTTGTTCACTCAGTAGATCTGTAATGGTCTGTGACATTTCATCCAAACTTTGTGCTGCTTTTACCAAATTATGTAGAGCAAGTACATGCTGGTGTAGAGGTTCAAAATCACAAAGTAAGGGAACCCTGAAACAGAATACAATGAAATTAGACTTCTGATTTCTTAATGAAATAGCAGATAACAGCTACCAAATATTTTGATATGTCAAAAATAACAAGAGCCTTATCATTCCTTTTAAAATTAATACCAGAAGTACTTTAAGAACTTTGTGTCATAATCAGTAAAGTAAAAACTTAGGGCCAAGCGTGGTGGATCACACCTATAATTCTAGCACTTTGGGAGGCCTAGGCAGGCGGATCACGAGGTCAGGAGTTCGAGACTGGCCTGGCCAACATGGTGAAACCGTATCTCTACTAAAAATACAAAAATTAGCAGGGCGTGGTGATGGGCTCCTGTAATCCCAGCTACTCAGGAGACTGAGGCAGGAGAACTGCTGGAACATGGGAGGTGAAGGTTGCAGTGAGCCGATATCGCGCCACTGCGCTCCAGCCTGGGTGAGCCTGTCTGAGACAGACAGAGCGAGACTCCGTCTCAAGAAAAAAATATATACATATAAAAAGTCAGAAATTTCCCAACAGCATGCAAAAAGTAACTACTGGAAAAAAATAATTACATGTAAGGCATACCTTCCTTTACTTTACCTTCATTTTCGATCATTTTTTATTCCTCAGAAATTTCTCAAAGCAGTCACAGGAAAGCCAGTCTATCATAAATATTTCTTATCTTGGCACCTCTTAAGATTACTGGTACTACCTGGCACAACTCCAGAATAATAAAAACATTTTAAGGTTATAAATTAGTTTAAAATACTGATGACATTTACCTGAGGAATGGCTGAACTTCCGAAGGACAAAATGATTGCAGAAACTGTAAATCTTTTAATGAAATATCTGGAAGTTCACAGTCAAACTTTCGAGGCTTCTGAGTCTGTACCAAAAAATAAATTAATTAAAAATTTTTTAAACAAAAAACAGAGGGCAAATTTATATGATTTATTACTATAATTAAATTTACTATACCAAACAAACTAAAATGCTTTAAATGATTAAGAAACAAAAAAAGAAATATCATTCAATAAAGATATGGCATATTATTTTTCTGAGCCTTTAGTAAACTGGGACGTGAACTGCTAGTGATCAAGGGATGCGCTTGTTCCTCCCCTTCTCTGTGTTTAGCATCATTTTATGGGAATTACAGTATTCCTATCCTGTATGTATGTGCGTGTGTGTGTGTGTGTATATATATAAATACAAATTTATATATATATATAAATAAAGTCACTAATATATTAAAATATACACATGTATTTTTTTTCCCATGTAACACTTTCTTATTTGCTGTTCCCTTGACCTTTCCATTACATATTCCAGAAGACAAAGTGTTGGTCAATTTTAGCTTCTATAAAAAATATTAACTGGTAAATCCTACCAATTCGTTATTTATAAAATTGCCAAGAGTTGCATTAAAAAAAACTTCAATAGTTTTAAATCATTACTCAAGCAGATGTGGAGATGTCAAGATGTTCTTCATAAAAAAGAGTTTTCAGATAAATAAGTAGGGGAATCGCTATGTCACCAATTCTTAGATATTAAAAAATACATACATTTAAAACACTAAGAAATCCTGCAGTACAGAAACATGTTTAACAGCTAAGCACAGCTAGGCGTGGTGGTTCACACCTGTAACCTGAACAATTTGGGAGACCAGCGTGGGCAAAAACACTTGGGGCCAGGAGTTTGAGATCAGCTGGCCAACATGGTGAAACCCTATCTCTACTAAAATACAAAAACTTAGCCGGATGCGGTGGCAGGCACCTGTAGTCCCAGCTACTTGGGAGGCTGAGGCACAAGAATAGTTTGAACCCAGGAGGTAGAGGTTGCAGTGAAACAAGATCGTGCCATTGCACTCCAGCCTGGACAACAGAGCAAGACTCTGTCTCCAAAACAACAACAACACAGCTAAGCAGTACATCTGATGGGGGTAAAAGTCCCCATATTGCTTTGATCATGGAAACGTTTCTTCTCATGTAATAAAATTAATGACCCCAGATAATAATGGTTAAGAAATATACCAAACTAATGTTTAATTTCAGTGAAGTCTAACTGAGGCTTTATTATTCTGATTTGTCAAAATATAAAGGGGGGTGGTGTGAAAATATAGAAGGGCAAGGAGGAGGCAGAGGCTGTAAAGGAGGAGGGAGGAAGAGCAGTGGAAGAAAGAGGAGGGAAGGATGGAAAGAAAAAAAGGAAGAGACAAGAAAACAAAAAAAACTAAGTGAATCTATTTCTACCAATCCTAACAGTGCAGTATAAGGTATCTTCCTGTGTTATGAAGATTCTTTATAAAAAATTATGAATGCAAATATCAATCTTTACGCTGACTTTTATCAAGCTTTATGCTGACTTTTAAAGTCAAAAACATTTTTATTTTGATTTTTTTAAAACCACAACAATTTCTGCAAGTTTCTGATAAATGCCTCTACTTCTGGAAAAAAGGTTTTAAAACATACGGAATTTAGTCATGGTTAGAAAATAAATACATACACAAAAGGAAGGGGGCCAGGAGTCCAGTCCCCTAAACAGACGATTTCTTAAAAAAGACTTCCCTGTATAAAGAAATTAACAATATGGTTATTTTAGAGCTTTATTTAAGGCAAAAAATTATCTCTTGGTTTTGAAAAAGTAAACTAAAAGTTGACAGTACTTCAAGTTTAAAATTTAACAATGGATTCAATTCTATACACTTTAAAAGGAATATTTCCTAGATATCAATGGTAATGAACAGCATATACATAAAGTATGCTACAGAAATCCAAGCTTATAAAAACTTTTTTCCTTTACAAAAGTAATTGAAATAATTAATGAACACTTACTAAATAATTTCCCAAAGGATTCCCTTTTTGATTTTTCTGCTTCATATAATCTCTTTCCATCTTTGACTAAAGCACCAGCCCACTAGAAGAGGAACGCTTATGTTAAACATAAACATACACCAATTCATTAAACTTCATATACAGTTAAAATAGAATTCAAATTGCATACCTCCCTGTAGTGTTTTATGAACATTTTTCTTCTTACAACCTCAACAACAGCTAAGCAGTACATCTGAGGAACTGTACTAAGAGCTTCAACAATTTTGACTCTTTCTAACAGCTCTATCACGAGGCGGAGCAAAGCTTGTAACTTCTCTCCATCTTGATCAGCATGAAGCATTACAAAGCAACACCACCTAGAGAAGAAAATCCATTATTTTCAAAATTCACAAAACTTTACTTAGTTACTTAGTAAGTTTACTAACTTAGTTAAGCCAAATAAATCAAGATATATAAGCTCTACAAAATTCAAAAATGGCAAGGGAAAAACCACCCCATCATTTGGGAGAAAAAAATACAAACATCCACTCTAAACATCTTTTTTTTTTTTTTTTTTTTGAGACGGAGTCTTGCTCTGTCACCCAGGCTGGAGTGCAGTGGCCGGATCTCAGCTCACTGCAAGCTCCGCCTCCCGGGTTCATGCCATTCTCCTGCCTCAGCCTCCCGAGTAGCTGGGACTACAGGCGCCCGTCACCTCGCCCGGCTAGTTTTTTGTATTTTTTAGAGATGGGGTTTCACCGTGCTAGCCAGGATGGTCTCGATCTCCTGACCTCGTGATCCACCCGTCTCGGCCTCCCAAAGTGCTGGGATTACAGGCTTGAGCCACCGCGCCCAGCCAACTCTAAACATCTTAAAACAGATATATAAATGAATCACTTACTTCAGTCTGACATGTAGGTTATTTGCTAGTTCTTGTTTGGCAGTGGTACACTTCTGCTTAATATCTAAGAGTTTTCTATGATTTTGCAACATAATCATCAACTGATTCGCGTGACTCAGGCATAAATCAGGTAATACGGATGCATCCTTTAAGTTTTCAGCTCTCTTCTGATTAGCTAAAAATCCCTTTGAGAAAAAAAGTGTTTCAAAGGACATTAATTTTGTTTCATGAAAGGTATGGACATTCAGTTAAGTGGAAAATCTTTATGTTAAACACAGCCTGTTCTGCGCCTTCTAATAATAATTAAATCCTCTATTTTTCTTGAATGTAGAAGATGCATAAATGGCACAAGACCTAAAATTTTTAAGAATCCTATGCTCATCTTTAATTTTTCAAACTAGAAGAAAACAAAGGCTGGAAAGATAAAGCCACTTAGCCAAGGACATATTTAGTAGTCGATGAGAACTAGAAGCTGTGTGTCTAGACTCCTATAGCATTATCGGTCAGTGACAGCACAAACAAAACAAGGTCACTGAAAAACAATGAGGGATTTAATAGTACATTAGACACTTTCCCAAAATACAAAAATAATAAAATGCCCTTATAATATTTATCGAAAAGTCACTGCCCTCTCCAGTTATCTCTGGACTATATTTTGTTCCACTGATCTGTGCTCCCATCACTAGGACAATGACTGAATTGTGTGATTTTGCACACAGTTAATACTTTATTATTTGGTAGAAAAACCTTTTTCTGGTTTTTCTTAGCTGTCCTTACTCATTTGTTTTTGTAGGTAAACAGTGTATCTGTCAAGTAGGGATTGTTTAAGTTACTAATTAATTTTGATAGATTTGTCATAATCTTCCTTCATATCTCCCAAGTATATTTAGTTTTCTTTATATGTGGTCCAAAGATAACCTAATAAGGTTATTACTTCATACTTTATTGCTACCACAAAGTCTTTTCCTATGCTATATACTAAGTGGCTTATATGCAATAATGCTTTAGGTTTTGTACATCCATCTGATTGCTCTATTGATAGTGTAAATAAATCATTATCCTTCTAGGAACTTAACTTTATGACCAGCTAAAGGATAAGTGTGTCTTCCAATTTTCTGGTAGTTCTCTGTTTCATGTTTTCCTAAATATTACAATATTTAGATTTAAATGATGTATATTAAAGCCAAACTGGTTCAATATCCGAAAACAAGACACTGTAAGCTTTTTCCTTTCAAGATACTCTTTGGTTAACTGCAACTATAATTTTTCTATAATGTAATCTATTAAAAAACAATTTGCTACTTTTATCTCCTTTCGCAAAGTCTGGTTTTCAATTACTTTTTATTGAATCCATGAAAAATATAGAATCAATCCCAAATCTAAATTCTAGACCATTAGTAAAGGATTTCCTGACACCAAAGCATGTAAGTACCGTATTGCTAAAAGAAGGAAAAAATACTGTTTTTCAATAAATTGAATTCCATATTTGCTCAACCATCCTCAATATAATCCAGACCAAATAGAAAAAATCCTCACAAATCATATAGTACTAATTACTAATATTTCTACACACAAATAAGGTTTGACAGCTACATGATAGCACTACAGCACTCACAATCCTGTTACAGATGCATTCTGCCAACTTTGGTTTGGGAAGAAAACTCCCTGATATTTCCTAATTTTGCTGATACCCCTCAAGGATACGAATGGCTAGAGAATGAATATTCAGGGCTCCAGTGCTACACAGCTTCATAGGTTTGGTGAGTGAGCTTTTGTTTTGTTTTTTGTTTTTTTGCCAAAACCATGTAGAAGGGTCTACAACAAATCCTCATAAATGTTGTGGTTTCAAGAAATTACCCCTTCAAAGGCATTTGAAATGGTATCTTATGAAACGTTCAGGCAATAAATAATAAGTCCCTTTCCACAATTTCTTTTCCCTTTTAATTGGGAGTGGTTTTAAGTTTTAATTGCTATATAGCTAGAATGTATTATACTACATTGTAAATGTATTTAGCAAGATGTTAAATCAGCTCCTAAAACTGGCTAATCGGAATTTATCTAATTTTCACCAACCACATTCTGAAGGAAGTACTGACAAACTATCTGCAACAGGGAAATACCATTGGCAGCAACAAAAGTAACTGATGAGATATCTGTAAATAAAAATTTTACACTAGCCAGAGGCTAGATAGAATTGTAACATTTCTCAAATACAAAAAACACAAATCCAAATTCTCATTTTATTAAGTATTGATGTGTTCCTACTATGTATGTATCAGGAATGTGTGGTAAGGCCTTATAGATAGAGCAATGGAAGACAGACTAGTGTCCTGCCTCCTTGGAGCTTATATTCTGGAAAGAGACTGTATTAAAAAGCATGTAATTAATAATTACAATTGCGGTACAGGATAAGTATAGCATACTAAGAGAAAATAAACCTGATGATGTGACCAAGACTTCAAGACTGGAAATGTCTGGCTAAGGAAGTGATGCTTCTGCTAAAACATTGATTCTGTACATCCCTTGGCAGCCCAAATCATGACAATATAGGTGTGAAAAGTTGTCTCACTTACCATATACCTCCTAGCTTCAACTGGGTATCCCTTTTCTCTCATGAGCTCACTGAAAATAATCTTACTAACTGAATCCTCTCACACTCAGATTCACTCAGGCACACTCAACTGAAATCTGTCTACCTCGGGGTCTACATTTCTGCCTCACAATTTTGCTCCCAATATACAATCAGACAACATAGATGACTTCTAAAAACACTTATTATGAATACTTAGGAGTATCAAAAAATATCCATTGGAGAACTTAAATAATCAAATATTTAATTGCCTCAAAATGTTTAAAAGGACTATACCACTCAGGTATCAAAGAAAGAAAAGATATTTTATAAAAGTAAGAATATTATCTATAGTATTCATTTGGTGTTCTTTATAGTCCATGAGATACCATAGTTTAAAACAATAGCAAAATACTACAAATAAATTAGGGGGAACGAAGATGTAGAAACAGGATGCTCTATGAGCATAAGACAACAAACTCTAACTTTGTAATTTTCATCGGAACAGAAATTCTCACTCAATTTTACTTCAGTTTGGATTCAGGGAGGTTACATGGTCAGATTTAGAAAGCAAACAAGAAAACCTCAAATACGCAAATAATGCATTCTTCCATTTTGAGAAAATAGTATTATCACCCCAACTATACTCCCAGAAAAATACTTTTTTCCTTGTATGACAAAACTCCATTTGTTGAAACCAAGTAGACTTGAGGGCAATATCAGCAATAAATATCTTTTTATATTATTAACAAATACAAAACCATCCAACGTACCTGACTAATTGACTGTTGAAGTGATACAAAGCAGGAGGACTAACAGCAATATTTTAAAATATTGAGAGATTAAGGGGAGCAAAGAAAAAGCAGAGAGAGAAAACTGGAGTGTCTAAGGTAAGAGAATTGAAAGCCCTGGTTTATTCCATCTGAGAAACAGATATAAAGAAATTCACAGGTTTTTTTTTTTTTAAAGCAACAATGATTTTAAATATAAAAAAATGAACAAAAACAAGTAATCTGCATCTGATCAGCTTGCTGCACTTTGGAAAAGGCTTAACTTAAGCCAGTGTGGTACTGAGATTTTCTTTTTTTTTTTTTTTAAATTATACTTTAAGTTCTAGGGTACATGTGGATAACGTGCAGGTTTGTTACATATGTATACTTGTGCCATGTTGGTGTGCTGCACCCATCAACTCGTCATTTACATCAGGTATAACTCCCAATGCAATCCTTCCCCCCTCCCCACTCCCTGTGATAGGCCCTGGTGTGTGATGTTCCCCTTCCCGAGTCCAAGTGATTTTATTGTTCAGTTCCCACCTATGAGTGAGAACATGCGGTATTTGGTTTTCTGTTCTTGTGATAGTTTGCTGAGAATGATGGTTTCCAGCTGCATCCATGTCCCTACAAAGGACACAAACTCATCCTTTTTTATGGCTGCATAGTATTCCATGGTGTATATGTGCCACATTTTCTTAATCCAGTCTGTCACTGATGGACATTTGGGTTGATTCCAAGTCTTTGCTATTGTGAATAGTGCATTGTGAATAGGTGCCAATGAACATATGTGTTGTGTCTTTTATAAAGGCAATAGACTATAATCCTTGGGTATATACCAGTAATGGATGGCTGGGTCATACTTTTCTAATTCTAGATCTTTGAGGAATCAAATGTTTGGAGTGTCACACAGCTTACAATCCCACCAACAGTGTAAAAGTGTTCCTATTTCTCCACATCCTCTCCAGCACCTGTTGTTTCCTGGCTTTTAATGATTGCTATTCTAACTAGATGGTATCTCATTGTGGTTTTGACTGCATTTAGATGGCCAGTGATGATGAGTTTTTTTCATGTGGTCTGCCATGGGGAGATTGTCTCTTTGAGAAATTGTTCATCCTTTGCCCACTTCTTCATGGGGGGTTGTTTGTCTTTTCTTGTAAATTTGTTTGAGTTCTCAGCCTGATAGCCTCTTTGTCAGATGAGTAGATTGGGTGTGGCACTTTCTCCCCATTCTGTAGGTTGCCTGTTCACTCTGATAGTTTCCTTTTGCTGTGAAGCTCTTAGTTTGATGAGAATCCCATTTGTCAATTTTTATTTTGCATGCCGTTGATTCCTCCTCTTTGGTGTTTTAGACATGAAGTCTTTGGCCCATGCCTAGTATCTGAATGGTACTACCAGCTTTTCCTGATTTTGTGTACAGTCTAACATTTAAGTTTCTAATCCATCTTGAATTAATTTTCAGATATATAAGTGAAAGATCCACAGTTTCAGCTTTCTACTTATGGCTAGTCAGTTTTCCCAGCACTATTTATTAAATAGGGAATCCTTTCCCCATTTCTTGTTTCTCTCTCTGTATTGCCAAAGATCAGATGGCTGTAGATGTGTGGGCTACTTGAGGACTCATTTTGTCTCCATTGGTCTATATCTCTGCTTTGGTACCAGTACCATGCTGTTTTGGTTACTGTAGCCTTGTAGTATAGCTTAGAGGTCAGGTAGCGCGTGATGCTTCCAGCTTTGCCTGATTGATTGTCTTGGAGATACAATTTTTTTTGTTCCATGAACTTAAAGCATTTCAATTCTGTGAAGAAGCTCACGGTAGCTTGATGGGGATGGCATTGAATCTATA